AAAATTGCCCAAGAGGCTGCTCCATGCTTTGTTTTTCTTGGGGTGCTCTTTGCAAACTGCCTCAAAGTCCCGGGTGCAGAGCCCAGGCTGGCTGACCCTCAAGTTCCCAGCAAACTCTGACAGTGAAGGGCTCCTGCAATTGAAATGGCGTGGGCGGAGGGCTCTTGAATGGGCTCTTCTGAGTGCTCTCACTCAGAGGCACAATCCGTCTTTCAGCAGAGGCGAGGCTCATCCCGCCTGCTGGGGACAGTGCGTCACTCAAGCCTGAGTGATGGCAAGGATGTCTCGAGCCTGCCCTCCACTGCCTGTCTGCTCTGGGTTTAGATTAGTTCCCTAGGATTTTGCGTAAGCTCTCTGTTCACAAGCAAGCATGAGCTCACCGAGAGGCCATTCACAAAGAGAAACGACTCGAATGGAAAGTGAATGGGATCCAGGGCCACACTGACACAGCTGAGGCAGGGCACAAGCCAAGTGGGAGCTAAATGGCAGTGGCAGGCTCACCACAGGCTGGCCGTGGCGGGGCTGGGAACCGGCCCCAGAAACCTACCAAGAACACCACAGCAAGGACCGAGAGAGACCGGGTCTCTCTGGGGGAAAGCCTTGTCCCAGACTAACTCAAGCCAGTCCACTGCAGTCGGGTGTCGTGAAGGACATTTCACGGACAACGGGGATGGAAAGGAGGATGGCGTTCCCGACAGGCTACACATCCAGCCTGGGTGTGTAGGGGGCCAAGCAGCTAGGTTTGTGTAATTACACTCTGACATTCACACAATGAAACTGCCAGCAACGCATTTCTCAGAACAGGTCGCTGTGGCTCCAAGACACGTAACTGTCCTATTATCAGGTTTCTGAGTTCTGACAGGCCCAGATATGGCATAAAGTACCTCAATTCAGGTGGTGCATTCCCAAAATGAACAGCTACGGGGTGAGAGCTGAAGTGCTGGCTGTGTGAGCTGACAACGGACCCTCCTCACCTGGGAAGCAGGCACAAACAGCTCCCAGACCTCCACGGGCACCACAGCAGAGGCTTGCCAGGATGCCTCTGGGCTTGCTGTATGTGCCCACCAGAGAAGGATCTTCCCACCTGCTAGCAGTGGGTTTTAAAGGTTTGCTTTAAAAAAAAATGAACTGAAAACACAAAGAATATGCAACAGACCACATGGGAGCTGGCTAAGGATAAAATATTTACTGTCTACAAAAAAAGTTTGTGGATCTCCCGATTGAAGGAAGAAACAGACTTGAAGAGAACTGGCACTGAGTCCAATACACAGGGGATATTTAGAAAAGGTGGGATTTCATGCCAAATATAAAACGAAGGAGAGAATTTCCTGGCAGAAATTTAGTTGCAAGAAAAGAAATTTAGCAGATGGGGGAAAATGTGTAAGATTCGTAGAATACATCAATGTTTCCATTCACCTTCACCCCTTCCGCGGTCATCTAGGAGGATTTATGTACAAAGTCCCACAGACAGCTCGGCTTGAACAACAGGATGTTTTCTCTCAGTTTGGAGGCTGAAGTCCAAGAACAAGATGGCGGCAGCTTTAGTTTCTCCTGGGGTCTCTCCCCTTAGTTGGAAGGAGCTGCCTTCCCCTGGGTCCTCTGTCTAGAGTCTGTGTTCACATGTCCTCTTCTTATAGCAACACAAGTGAGACTGTGTTAGAACCCAACTTCATGGTGCTTATTCTAATTCACTCCCCTCTTAGGAATTCTATCTCCAAACACAGTCACAGTGGGAGATATTGGGGTTAGTATCAGTATGTGAATCTGAACATGAACATTTAAATTAAATGAAGCACTAATCACCAACAAGGCATCTCCCTTTACTTAGAACAAAAACAACCCTTGCACACAGAGATGTGCTGTAATTATCTGACAGGGGAAGGCCAGCTTGCTTTCAGGGGGCCTTTAGGAGATGCACACAGTCGGAAGGGGCATGGGAAGGCACTTTCACCTCAGACCAGCCATGAATTCATGGCCTGAGTAAGAAGCTTGATTCCTGGACTTTCCTGTGACCCTAAATCTGCATATGTTCCCCCACAGCTCTCAGTCTTTGATTCCAAGGCAGGTCCACATGATTAGTTGCAGCCAGTATGGCTATATTTTGAGTGGATGGAGACACAAGTTAGAAGCATCTTGAATCCCTGAGACACCACATGGAAGACAGCTGCTCTAGAGTCAGCTGAGCTGCATAAATATTTATGTGAGGAATCACCTGTGAGAATGGCTATTATCCAAATAGCAAGAATCAAGTGTTGTAGAGGATATGGAGAGAAGGGTACCCTTAGACCCAACTGTTGGGAATGCAAACTAGAGCAGCCATTATGGAGAGCAGTACAGACATTCCATAAATATTAAAAACTGAAATTCCATTCAATGTAGTTATCCCACGTTTAGACATTTACCCAAAAAACACAAAAATACTAATTCAAAGAGATATATGCACCCCCATCTTTATTTCAGCATTAGCCAAAAATTTCACAACAGCCAAAAATTGCAAACAACCAAAGGGCCCGACAACAGACTAACAAATAAGATGTGATTTCTAAACACCATGGAGTACTATACAGCTATAAACAGATGACACCCCACCATTTGCAACAACATGGATGGGCTTAGAGGAAACAAAGAACTAGATGAATAAAACAAAAATAAACTTTTGGACTATGGGACCAGGGCGGTTGCCAAAAGGGAAGAGGGTAAGAAGGTAAATTAAAGGAATAGTGGTATGGAGGACAGAATTAGATGTTTAGCAGTGAGCTTAATGCAATACGTACTTGTGCTGATTCTCGATGATGCACACCTGAGACCTATTTAAGGTTAGCACGCCATGTTACTTCAATTAAAATAAAAGATGGAAGAAGTAAGCCTTGATCGGGCAAGTCAGAGACTGGGTTTAATTTGCCATCTTAAGGACGCCTAATCAGTTTAGCACACTGATGGCCTGAGATGAGATGCACACAGGTGGAGGTGGAGGTGGGGGCAGGGAGGCACTCCTGCGTCAGACCCTCGGTGATTTACCGCCTGAGGACGAGAGGCCTGGTTCCTGATACAAGCCCCCAACCTGCCCTTTTCAGCTAGTCACAAGGCCCAGGAACAAAATTTGTGTTATTGCTGTGGATTTCTAAGGTCAGCCACAGGCATTCCTTTCCGAATAGCTTCAGGGCCATCTTCTGAGAAGGGAATCCATGGTGTAAGTCGCTCAGGCCACATCAGAGCCTTTTGTTTGATGCCACCTGTAAATGAGGCCGCTTCCTGCGTGACGTGCTGCCAGCATCCATACAATGTGTTGGCATTTTCATCTCACTGGCTCCAGTCGGTCCCTGAGTTTGCTCCACATCAAGCTGCGCTCACCGCTCCTGGTGCTGCTCCTCATCGCATGCCGGGGGAACTGTGGATGCTCGGGTGGGAGGGGGTGGCGGAGGCTGCGAGGCCCCCAGCCCCGCAGTGCCCCAGACCTCAGATCTCAAAGATCACTGTGTGTCCTGAGGACAGAGCCACAGAAGAGAAGTACAAATACACACCCGTTTGTCTTTGGAACCAGATGTCTGAAAAGCTCCCTTGACAAATAAACTGCCACAAATAATACACTCATTTACTACTCAGGAAACACACTTCTTTCATTGAAAAGTGATGACGGGAAATTGAACCCGTTCCCAGTGCTGTTCTGCTTTATTCTGACCGTGCCTGGTGGCACAGAGGGTCCCCCGAAGAAACAAAGGCAATAATCAAGAGGTTTCCAGGCCGCTCCCAAAATATCAGCCTTGCATTCTTTCTGGATTTGTCTCCCTTTAGGACAGGGCTATACAGAAAACATTTTATTGGTTTAATCTAGTAAAACCCAGAGCCTTTGGATAGTTAAAAAAGAGATCCTGGCTACTCCTGACTGCTGCTTCTGGTAAGAGTCTTTCTCTGACTTCAAGAGTTAAGGGTGGGTGCACTGTATGCTCAGAATGTCAAACTGCACAAGTTTGAGAATGAATGAAAATATGCAAAAATCTGCTCCACATGAGGCATCAGAGACCTGTGTTGTGATAAGGCTTGATCTGCTGTTGACTTCCTGGGTCCCTGGGGCCACGCTCTCTGGCTCTGTTTTTGAGGGTGGAGCCCTGAGCCGGCACCTCCAGCTCACTCAGGGACACGGGGAGTGTGGCACTGGGGACGTGTCCTTAAACCATTCAGGGCCCCGGTTTTCTCTTTTTCAAAAAGGTTGCAGTTGAGCCAGATAATCTTGGGTCGCTTTCTGTCCTCAAAAGCTCTGATTTCTAAAAGAAAACATCTCCTCAATGCTAGATACCAACCTCTCCCCCGTCCTTGTCAAACTTGAGCAGAGCCCCTGTGGTGGAAACGGTAAGCTCCCCCGTCCAGACAGGACGCCCTTCAGCCGCACTGTACGGGGCAGGAGGGGGTTGGACGGAAGAGGCACACCTGGAGAGCTCTCTGTGGACAGCTATGGATGAAACCGACCAAACAGCCCAACGCACAATCTATACCCCTCTCCACCCCACCCATCACCCCTATTTCCCTTCCTGCACAGGGGCCTAAAACAAGACAAAAACTAGGAGGAATAATCACAGTCATCATTCTTCATGGGTAACTTTCAGGGTCTCCAACACCCCAAAAGAAAATGCTGACTTGTCCCTATGCCCAGCCAGATGGGCTTTTGAAACCTACAAGTTCCAAGTGAAACGAAGCAAGGACACTCAAGTAGAAAATGCCCCCAAATTCCCCACAACCAGATCCCTACTCGCATCCAGCTGGTTGGTGGGTTACGAATTTCATGTAAGGCCCTCCCTGGCGGTGCAATGGGTTAGGACACAGCACTGCAAGTTGGCTGCAGCTGCTTCAGTGTGAGTTCGATTCCAGCCCTGATGCTGACCCACATGGCACAGCAGACCTCTCCTGTCTCCCTGCTGCTCCCCTCAGCAGTGCACTTCATGGATCTGCCTGTTCTGCTCCCCACTGTCTCTAGTGAACCATCTCACTGCCCCTGTACTTCTGGCCTGTACCCCAGTTCTGTATGCATGAATAAATAAATCTTTTTAAAAAAATTTCATGTAGAAGATGACACAACTACTTGCATAGACTAAGTTTATCAGCAAAATAACGAAGCCATCATAGTGAGGGAAGCATGTATTTCACAGTCATTATAAAAGTACATATATTTACTAATGGTGACATAAACACAGTCCTTACTTATGGCCAAAACATACCGTTGAAGCTGACTTCCCCCCGGAGGTCACATGATGGTGGGACAGTCACTTCCGTCAGTAAATACAGGCTGACTGAGTTCACAGGGGCAGACTAATGAGAAACAGTCATGGTCAAGTAGACAAGAAACAGGCTTGGTACTTACCAAAGGGGGAGTCAAGTTTTCCATATAAATATAATAAAATAATAAAGAATTTAACATTTCTTCTTTCACTCGATTTCATAGATTTGTTGGTGCTCATACTCACAAAAATACAGTTTGCTCCTTCCCTCCCTCGCCTCCCTCACCTCTCACTGGGTTCAGAATAAACCTGAGTTCACAGTTCGGGGGCCCGTGGCAACGTGCTCAGCTAACTGTAGACAAGCCTGCAGCTTGTTCTTGAAGCATTCAGGAACGGAAACGTGTTCCCCACGAGCTCACAGCAACACGGAAAGTAAAATACAAGAAAGAGACAAAGGAACAACAAATCACAAGGCACAGGTAAGAGCCTGCCAGCCTGCAGGATGCCCACTGCAGCTGGGAACAATCTAAGACAGGTTTCTCTACTGCCCAGCGAGATCCAAACATTTCAAGCCCAATGCAGAATCTTCTTGACACCTGTTTTCTCCCCTCCGCTAGACAGCTCTGTGTTCAAAGGAAGGTTTCTAGAGCCCAGTCTGGAGTCATGCAGAGGAATAACACCAAAAACCAGGAGCCTGACCCCCTCCTAACAAGCCCGGGAGTTTGGGTGATCCCCTCCACGGGGAAGCAGCCGCTGTGTCTTGTCAAGGCCAGCCAGGACTGGGCAGTACAGTGGGTTCCAGAGTCAGTCAAATATCCACTCTCTACTTGCTCTGCTAAAGACACGTAGGGCAGGAGGCCACCGCTGGTCCACAGGAAAAGACGGTGACCATCACTGCTCTCTGGCATGGGCTCGCAGCCAGTGGAGTGCGTAGACTAGCTTCCAGGTGGCCCCATGGTCACTCCTGGCTTAGTCACCATTTGAAAACTCCAGGCCATCGCTCGCCAACCTGTGCAAGTTCTTTTTCCAATTCTGCTGGTGACCAAGGGGTCCCCTCCATGTGGCAGGCCCTGGCCCCCTGTGCGGAGAGCACCCCAGGCAGGCCCAGCTGCATGGTGAGACCACAGAGGGTCCACACACCTGCACACACAAGGACAGCACAGATACAGCACCGGAGACACATCTTTGGTTCAATCCTTGGCAAAAGGTGTGAAGACAGAACACGGACTCAAAGCCTGTGTAGGGAAGGGTGCTCTCCAAGACCTGCTCGGTATGAAACGTGACCCCCTGGGCATGCCTGTTCTGCACAGGGCCCACAAACTAGCTGAGCTCCAAACAACACTCGTTTTCTTGGCAACTTGAAACCCATATTGCACAGAGGTAACGGCTCCTCCTTGCCTTTCAAATCTGGCCCACACCACTCTTTCTCTTTGGAATTATCCACTGGAATTATGTTCTAAACCTTCTGGAAGGATCAGGGCTGGGCTGATAGGACGGGAGAATGCAGGGAGGGCCTTGATCACACCCCTCCTGCAGGCCACCCAGAACATCACCCTGGGGAGCCCTGGGGCCCTCCATGTTCATTCTTTCATGGAATGTTTGGTGCAATTCCTTCTTACGTCTCCATCCATGTTTTTTGAAATGACGTTGCTTCGGTCTAAGGACATCACGTAAAGAAAGATCATCTTTGGAGAAGGTATGTCAACTATTAGTAGGTTCCAACTACAAAAAAGGAAAAATAAGTCTAGCAAAATCTTGGTTGGGGGGTAAGTGCCCACTCTGAGCTTTTCCTTCACTCGGGATCCCCACTCACTGGTTGTCTTTGCCAGCAGGATTCTACTGAGGGTGTGGAGTGGGCCATGCTGGGGCACCTGCCTGGCTTCCTCAGAGGTTCCTGGAGCCTGGCACTCCTGTGGGGAGTCACCACTGTGGAGGGGAAACCAGGTCTGGGCACCCCTCGTGCTGCTGCTGCCCCCGTCCCGTGTGGCCAGCCGTCAGGACAACTTGGTCCAGTGAGACGCACATGCAGCACAAGTGAAGAAAGTCTAACAGCCGCAGTTGGGGGAGCCCAGGCCTGCGGGTCCCCGAGCCCAGCAGGGGAGGCAGGCGAGCGCCGGCGAGTGGGTGGGAGGAAGGTGGACGTGGCGACTGGAACCGGCCACACAGGGCCAATCCTCTAAGCGGCCTGCTAGGTGAGACGGAGCCAGGTTCCCTGGGATCTGTGGGAGCCAGGAGTTCCAGAGCTGGGACCAGCAGGAGCTGGGTTGGCCAGGAAGCCGCATCCACGGAGTCTTCACACCCTGCAGGCTGGAGCTCTGCTCCACGGCTTCCCTCAGAAACACCCCCGCTCCCGCCGCTGGTCCAGGCTAACACTGGCCTTTGACACCGTCAGCCATATTGAAGGAGAGGCTCACGGGGGCCATGGGCTGCAGGGGGGGCATGCTGGCTTCCAGGGGCCGGTCTGCGGTTGCCCGCAGGCTCTGATGCCGCTTCCTCAACATCTGTCCGATGCCCATCATGGGGAACCTGCCCCGGCTCTTCACGCAATTCGGACTCCCCAGGGGCTGTGTAGGGCCACTGCTGGGAGCTGGAGCTGGGGAACACACACCCTCCTCTTTGGGGGAGCTGTTCTTATCTTCATGAGCAAAGGAGACCAGAGTTGGGTGGAGAGCTGACGGGCTTCCAGGCAGCAGAACTGGGGAGAGTGTCCGCTCACTGGGGTGTCCTCGAGTCAGACCCCCGGGGGAGCTCAGAATCCTATAGTGATGGGTCGGGGAGAGCAGTTCCACTTGGTCACCGCGATCTACAGACTCGAAGGAGCGCACCATCTCCAGCGTCGGGGGGTCTTCCCTGGGGGTGATGCCGGTGCCTCCAGGCCCCTGCGGAGGGGACTCTGGCTTCTTGGCAATCCTGGGGGTCCTAGGGGGTGGGACGGGGATGAACTCCATGGAAGAAGAAGCCACACAATTGGAATCTGAGGTTTTGCGGAAAATATTGCGGCAGCCGAAGGAATCTGTGCACCAAGAGAGCAAAGGAAATGGTAAGGAAGCCGCAGTGACGGTGCTTGGGGCCCGTGCTGCTGCTAGGCAGCCTGACAGGGCCAGCCAGGTGCCCAGCCAAGGAGCTTGGCTACCCAGGGGGCTGCTCGGGAGAGGACCGGACAGCACATGACCCCCCACAGGGCCCAGCTCGGCTTTCTGGAATGGAAGGAACAGAAGACTGGTGGCCGCAGCCTCCTGGGCTCTGATTTACCTCCTGACACTGGTCACATCTGCTCCCCTTTGAGGCTTAAAATTCAGGACCCTGCTGAGGGGGTTTTGAATAAGCAGCAGCTGCTCTCAAGGGAATAGTCGCAGAGATACCAGAAGCACAGCAGCAGAGCTCCGACTTGATGGGGACTCTGGAACGGGGTGTCCAGATAGTGAGTCTGGAAGGAGTGTTTTTGCTGTGTCTTTTTATAACTGTGCTCAAAAACACACAGCATGAAATAGCTGTCTTAGCCACTTTTATTTTATTTTATTTTATTTTTTAAAGATTTATTTATTTATTCATACAGAACTGGGGTACAGGCCAGAGATGCGGAGGATGAGAGGATTCACCA